GACACCATATCACAGCAAAACATGCATACCAATGTTTATAGAAGCACAACTCCTAATAGCTAAATCTTGGAAGAGGCTTATATCTCCATCAACAGATGAACGGGTAAAGAAAATACGGTATTTATACACAATGGAGTACTACTCTGCCATAAAGAAGGATAAACTTGAGTCATTTGTGGGAAAATGAATGCAACTTGAATCCGTAATATAAAATTAAATAAATCAGACACATAAGCTTAAATATTACATGGTGTTTCTTACATGAGAAATCCAAAGTATAAAGAGCAAAATAAAGATATATAATTGGAAACAAGCAAAAAGATCTTGGCAATAAAGAAGGGGACCAAGAGATAGAGGGAGGGTGGAAAAAAAGAATAAAATGTGTTATATACATGTGCCCATTCTCCACGAGGAATTTAATCACTATGTACTGCCAACATGTACCAATAAAAACAAAAATTAGGAAAAAGAAGAAAACATACTTCAGGTTTTATCGCAACTTGCTTACAAACTGTTGTCATTTTCCCTTAGCAATCCTCTACCCCTGGCTCTGCCATTTCACCTCTCCAGCCTCTTCCCCACTTAACTGAACACTCCAAAGGCCTTCCTAGGCCATCCTCTTTTCATAGCGCCACATCAGGCCATTCTAGGCCCACAGTGCCCCCTGGTGGCCTGAGGAACAAGGTGCGCTTTGAAGCTAGACAACTTGTGAGAAGTGGCATCGTGACCAGGAGAGAGGCCCTAGAAAGCACAACTTTAGGAAAAGACTAAGGAGTGTGCCTTCTGGAGAAGATAAATTCTATTGGAATTCTAGCCTGTTTGACTTCTGTTCCTGAGCTCATATAAATGGAGTTAAAGAGCACAGAGCAACCGGTATCAAAAATGTCCTAAGGCTTCCTTTGCAGGGCCTTTCCTCAGACTGGCATTCTTTTTTGAGATTTTTTTTTTTTGGTTTTTGGGGTTTTTTGTTTGTTTGTTTGTTTGTTTTATACAAGGGATCAAATTCAGGACCTTGTGCTTTTGAACCCGTCTTACACAGTCCACCTTCTGAATCTATGGGTCCTGTACACTCAGATTCAACCAACTGCACGTGGAAAATATATTTTTAAATTTCAGCCTGGCATACTGGCACACACCTGCAATTCCAGCACTTGGGAGGCTGAGGCAGGAGGATTTTCATGAGTTCAAGGCCAGCCTGGGCTCGACAGTGAGTTCAAGGCCAGCCTCCACTATGTAGTGAGACCCTGACAAAAATAAACAAAAAAATTTAGAAGATTCCAGCAAATAAAGCTGGAATTTGCAACACACCAAGTAGTATGCTGTATTCATGCAAGTGCGATGTGTTCACATTGCATTAGATATTGTTATGGTTTGTACCTAGATGTCCCCTCAAAGCCTCAGGTATTCATCGGTGAGACTTTTTGGAGCTTGCTGGACCTAAGGTGTACGACAGTGGGATTAGGGGTGTGTGGTACTAAGTTGAGTCCACTGGTTGGAATTAGCATAGTTTGGGGTGTGGCTGAATGGATTTACTAAAGACAGATGCGTCACCTTGGGTGTGGGTGGCACCCCACAAAAGGTTTATAGCCTGGATGGAATATAAGGGACAGAATGAAGGCAGGCTCGCGGCTGCTGCTTGCTGTTCACTGCCTTCTGCTTGCCACACCATGACAAGCACAGCAAGAGGATTGTTTCTCTCTTCTGCGATGACCCTCTGTCACGCTGCTCTGCCTTGAAACCAGCTGACTATGGACAGAAACCTCTACAAACTATGAGCTGAAAGAAACCTTTCCTCTAACTTGTGGATGTTGAGTATTTTGTACCGGCAATGAGAAAATAATTAAGATAGATATGATAATTGATCTAAATCTACAGAAAATTTAAAATACACAGTGGGGTTGTATAGGTTACGCACATATTGAGAATTAAAGAGGATTTGATTAAGTTGATAATATATTTAACATTTACTAAATTAAAACTGAACAGTGCTTAAAATACTTAAATGTACACACTCCTACTAGACCATTTACATGTAAATATATATTTTGTGCTTTCAAAAATATTTTTGATACAGGATCTCACTATGTCAGGCTGGTTTTGAACTCATCAAATAGCCCAGGCTGGTCTCGAACTCACAGAGATCCCCTGCCTCAGCCTTCTGAGCACTGGGAAATATAGGCATGCTCCACCATATCTGGTTGCTTTCAAAAATCCCAAAAAGTAGAAAGGAAATATCTATATTAGCTCAAGCTCCAGCTGCCCTCACCTAGCCTGGGGAGGTCTTTGACCTGTGTCCTTCAGTCTCTTCCTCCACAACCCAGGGCAACAGAGTTGACAACCAACAGACTGACTTGACCAAAGCAGAGACCAAGGCCTCCATGGAGAGTTTTGTTTCAGGACTTAAGTCAGATGCTTCTACAGAGATCGGGCGAGAGACAGCCCTGGAGAGGATGAGAGCTAAATAGGGATCTCCTGGGATCCCCAGGGAAGCCCAGGCTCAGACCAGGAAGATTGCAGGGTCTTTATTCTGTTGTGGTAGGCTAGGTTTTGTTGAAGTGCTCCTAAGAGGGAGCAGTCCTGAAGAAGGTATATATACTCTAGTGATATGTTTGAGCTCTGGCACTGCTGCCAAAATCCAGCAGAAATCGGTACTCTGAATTATTGTAGGTCAATGTAAGGGGTGGCCTAATTTTCTTTATAAAAATCTAAGTCCCTGAGACAGTAAGACCTCGGCCCCTCCCAAGGAAAACTAGAGTCCTTTTTGTTTCGGTAGAGGGCTGCTCATGAGTGGCTCCAGAGTTTGCCAACATCTGTTGACATATGATGCTAGAATTGTCACTAAATTTGCTACCACAGACGAGGTAACTTGGCACTGGCCAGCACTTGGTTTCCTCTCTATGCCAACACCTAGATTGCCTGGAGTATCATAAGCAAAGCTGTGCTTGCTCCCAAAGAACAGGGCACTGAACCAAAGAATTTACAAGCCCAAACACAAAAACACAAACAACAATAACAACAAAAGAAGTATTTTGAAAAGACAAGGCAACAGAATCCTCCAACAACTCCCAACTCAGTGCAAGGGTCTTTGAGGGCAAGGAAATCATAAGCTATACAGCAGATGGGTCTGAAAGGGTACATGGTGGTGAAAGAGTTCTATAAGGTGTTTAGTGCATTTAAAGATACAATGAATAACATAATGACCACAAAGGAAAAAATGACGAGTGAGTCTAAAGACACCAGCTAGTGCAGCTAAAGAAAGCAACACAAAAACATGAATGCCCAGCATAGAAAAGAACAGGCGTCCATAAGAAAGTTCCGAACAGAAATCCAGGAGACTGAACACATGACTGAAAGTATGGGTAGTACAAGTGATTGATGTGAAGACAGAGTGTCAGGCCTGGAGGACAGCGCTGTGGTCAAGGATCAGTTCATGAGAAAAACCTTTAAAACAGTAAGTGAACAGGAAAAATGGATCCAACAGCTCCTCGATGAATCAAAGTGGACTAACATGAGAGTAATTAGAATTAGCAAAAAAATCAGAAGATAGCACAAAGGGCATAAAAATTGTTTACATATGTAATGGCAGAAAATTTTTCAACGTGAAAAAAGAATTTAGTGCCCCAAAAAGTGAATCTTATAGAGTCCTGAATAGCCATAATGAAAAAGAAAATCCCACCCCATGCCACAAAATAATTAAAATACTAGGCAAACTTGCCACGATCCACCTGACATTGCGAATTTTCACCCGAGCCTGTTTTATTTTGTTTTTTTTTTTTTTTAGAAAGTTCTTATAATTTCACACTTGAAAACAGTGGTTGTCCTGAGTCTCTTAAATCTTCTTGAGCCACTGTGTCTGCAGCTCTTCAAAGACAAACCACTGTTGAGTAAATCGAGGGAGAGGAAAGGCTCCAGTAGTTTTCGTCAACCCTGCTCTGTGTCAATCCCAGTTCTGAGGGGCATCAGTGCGATGACCTCAGTGGAATGCACCTACGGAACCTTTCCCTCACTCTTCCACGCACTCATTCAGCCACCTATGTAGCTGGGAGCCTGACGCTCCCAGCTTCCCTGGCATGAGGATGGCTGGACAATGGCAAAACAAATCCAGGAATAAATAACTGCCGACCGCACTGCCCATTTCTCTAGGCCACCAAGATCACCATGACATAATTGGAGATTTGGGGTCACCTGGATGACAGGAACATAGTGTCAGACCACACTTTACCCCCAACCACTTCAGAAAAATGTATGCAGAGGCTATTTCCCAGGCATGAGTGAGCAAAATAAATTCAAAACACCCAAAGAGATCTAGGTTCCATTTACCTTTTCAGCAGCATGATTCTGCCGTCCCCACCTCCAAAGGGGACCGGGGGAAAGGAAAGTGTCAAAACTGGCACCTCTCTTGCAAACCATGCCAGAGGCCACAGCCCTCTCTGCCCGCTGCCGGCCCCAAAGACAAGATCCCGGGTGGTCAAGGCTCAGTAACAGCATTCTGGGCCACCACACCCCCTCTGCCTCCTTCCCTGGCTCCCCACTCACCAACTGTCAACCAGGATTTGTCGGAGTGGGCAAGAAGCTCTGAATTAAGAAAAGCAACAGGTCTTTGAAGGACTCAGTAGAAGGCAGAATGTGGTTCCGGAAAGGCTCTGGAAACCTAATCCGACTCAACGACTGAAACCTAAAAACTCTGCCCCCACTTGTCTAACCTTTAAAGTTGCATCCCCGGTGGTGACTCGTAGCCCTACCCAATATCTCCCCTTCATCCTACTTTCCCTGATCTCTCGCCTCCCTCTAACCTCTACCCCACTAATTCATCTCTTGGCTCCCTGACATCCTCTCCTGCCTCGGCTCCCATTCCCGGCCTGGAGCTCTCTGGTGGGAGTGGCCACGGACACCACTCTTCCCGCCTCCCGCCCTGCCACTCCTTGAGAATGTTCTGGATTTCTTTCTCAACCTCATTGAATCTCGCGAGATTGCCCATGAGAAGAAAAGGGAAGCCAGGATTGGTCGATTCCTTGGTTTGTGAGGGGCGGGGGCGGGGCCTTGGCGCGTGAGTAGCCGCTGCGGTCCATTCAGCGTCTGAGGGAGCGAGCGGAGGACACTTGGCAAGGAGTGTGGTGTGGAAGAAAATGTAAGTTAAGGGCCAGGGATGGGGCTCAGTGGCCCTGCGCCTGTCTCGCAAGCGCAAGGTTCTGAGTTCCGTCCCTGGTGTGGGGGGGAATGTAAGTTAAAACTGTTTTCTCATACAGTGACTTTAGGTCACCAACCCCACCAGGATGTCACAGTGGGAGTTTTGGACGTAACAAATAGGGATCCCTGGGCTCTTTGTTGCTCTCGTTTCCTGGTGGTTTGAAATGGGTCCCACTAGAGGTGATGGGAAGAGGAGTGGGCAGTTTAGCCAGAATCCCAGACGGAGCAAAGGAGCGGCAGAGATTTGGTGGCAGAATAATAGCCATTGTCCATGGGTAAAGGGTCACTTGTGGCTGAGCACAGGGTCTTTCAACCTGTCCTCAGGCTCAGCTGAGGACAAACTAGTTTTGAGGTTTGGAGTAAGAATCTTAAGGATAGGGCAGGATCTAGTGTTCATTTTCTCAACAGTATTTTTGTGGGCTATTGTTCCATAACTATGTGTGTTAAAATACAGTCTTCTTGCTTTTGGAGCATTTTGGCATTACTCTCAGACTCGTGTGGAGACCGGTGGCTGACACCATAGGACATATAGAAGACAAATTATTGGGGGACTAGAGGCTCTTCTGAGTTGGACCAGCCTGTTCAAAAGACATCATCAGGTAAGATGGTCCCTTGAATCATCTTGGGTGGCCAGAGAAGCCTGTCTTCCTTGACCTTGTCACTGAGGAGTAAGTGAGAGTAAGCAGGAGTCTGCATCTTCAGTGTCCTCCCAAAGAGGGCAGAAGCAGAAATAGCCTTTATTTTTTCAAATCATTTTTTCCCATAGAGCATTTGATTTGTCATGCTGCCTTTTGTAAGATGCAGATTGAGGAGTTTATTCCCGAAGTCAGAGTTACATACAAACCTCTCTTCAGGGTAATCAAACATCAAGTCTAGACCTGTGCAGGATGTCAAGTACGTAGAGTGCATGAGCTCAGGGAGGTTTGGTTTCACTGCATGTGGGTGTGAACCACCAGGATAACAGTCACTTTTAGAAACTGAACAACAAGGTTGTACAACTTAGGCCTTGGGTGCCACATAAGGAGGCCAGGTAGGCCTGTGGTCTAACTTGAATCTGGGGAACTGAGCAGGAACCCAAACCTCAAGAATTACCATGTACCAGGCAGGGCAAAACAGTGTGCACATATTGTAGCTATCAGTATACTTGATTATTACCCTCAATGTAACTGGTATCTCTGAGGCAACAGTTGGTGGCCTAATGTTCAAAGTTCCAAACTCTAAAGGTAGTTGTTTGAGGATTGATTGAACCCAAAACCCTGAAAGGAAGGGGGCATGTGGAGAGGTAAAGTCAGGGTCCTGGCCCCAGAGTTTCTATCTTAGTATCTTACCTGAGCAGAGAGCAAGGAGGATGAATCAAGCAGAGTGCAGGTCACAGGCTGCAGCAGTGAAGACTCAGCCTTCTCCATCGCTGACTCAGATAACAAAGGGGCCTCTGTGCACTTCTACTTCCCAGATCTTGTGGATGTGGCCCCATCAGTGAGTTTGATTCTTCGACTCTTGCAAGGATGTACAGGGTGAGGAAGTATTTCCTCCCAGAAGTCCCTTTGGAGTGAGATGGAATCTTGGTGTTGTTTTAATTTGCAATTCTGTAGTGGTCAACAATGTTGATCATTTCTTGGTGTGTTTATTGGTCATTGCTACTTCTGTGAAGTGCCTATTCACTTTGTTTCCTCATTTTTGGGATTGGATATATTTTATTTTTTTATGAGGGGTTTCTTTTTCTTTTTTGAGTTCTTTATATATTGTAGATATGAGTGCATGTGTCTAAGGAATCACTGGAAAAAATTGTTGTCCCATTCTGTAGGTTGTTTTTTAACCCTTGGTTGTTTTGTTTGCTATGCAGTAGCCTTTTAATTTAACATGATCCCATTTGTTGATTCTCAGAACTATTTCCTATGCAATTGGGTTTCTGTTCACAGTCTGTCTACACCTGTGACTTCAAGAGTTTTACCTATTTTGTCTTCCAGCAGATTGTTTCTGATTTAATATTTAGATCTGTGATCCATTCTTATTTTAGTTTAGAACACGGTGGGAGGTAGGAGTCTAGATTCAATTTTCTCCACCTGGAAGCCAATTTTCACTGTACCATTTATTTTTAAATTTTCTTTCACTGTACCATTTATTAAAGAGGCCATCTTTCCTCCATTGTATGTTTTTGACACTTTTATCCAATATGAAATAGCTAAATTCCCTGGAGTTGCTTGTCCATAGTCTATGCTATGTCATTGATCCTCATGTCTATTTTTGTGCTATTTTTATAACTATATCTTTATAATATAACTTTAAGTCCAGGATTGTGGTGCCTGCTGCTTTGCTTTTGTTGCCCAGGATTGTTTTTGCTCTTCTGGGTCTTTTCTGATCCATATGAATTTTGGAATTGTTATCTCTAGTTCCATGAGGGATGCTCTTGGTATTTTGACTGGGATCGCATTAAGTCTGTATATCAGTTCTGCAAGTGTAGCTGCTTTGTCAGCACTGGTTCCAACTATCCAGAAATAAGAAAATCTTTCCATTTTCTGATGTCTTCATCGATCTTTTTCAGAGTGTTATAATGTTGTAGAATTATTTCATTTCCTTAGATTAATTCATAAGTATTTAATTGTTCTTGATGCTATAGTGAATGATACTGTTTTCCTAGTTTCTTTCTCCATGAGTTTATTATTATACAGGAATGCTACTGATTTTTGTGTGTTGATTTTGTATCTTGCTACATTACCAAATTTAAATATTGTCCTAAAAGAGTTAAAGACTTCATATTACAATGATACATGCATACCCATGTTTGTGGCAGCACAATTCATAATAGTTAAGTAAATAGTCAAATAAGTGGCCAGTTGTGGCTTGTTTTTTGGTTTATTTTTTTGGTTTTTTTGGTATTTTTTTGGTTTTTTGAGACAGGGTCTCAGTATGTAGTGAGACTGACCTGGAACTCACTGTGTAGCCCAGGCTGGTCTCAAACTCACAGTGATCCCCTGCCTCAGCCTCCCAAGTGCTGGGATCACAGGTGTGAGCCACCACGCCCAGCATGGCTTGTGTTTTGATGTCCCCTCAAAGCTTCATGCAGATGAGGTTGAGCTTACTTTCTCAGAGGTGCTGAACCTACAGTATGTGATGCTGGGATTAAGGGCATGTGATTAGTAAACCACTACATGTGAGTGATTGGTTTGGCACTGCCCTAACCCTGGTAGTCTGGATGGGATAAAAGGGGTGGAAAGATGCTGTTAAGGTCCCTTGTTACTTTGCTGTCTTCTGCCATGAACTGTTGCCCCTCTGCCACCCTGTCTTGAAACCAGCTAATTATGAACTGAAATATCTATGAACTGTAAGCCAAATAAACCTTTCCTCCTTTAATTTTGGGTGTTGGGTATTTTGTCTTCAGCAACAAGAGAAAAGTAACTAACACATGCCCAGTATGTCCATCAGCCCAGGACTGCATAAAGAAAATGTATTTGCATATGATGGAGTACTATTGTGCCATAAAAGGGAAACGAGTCATTTGTAAGAAAATGGATATACCTTGAGACCATAATGTTAAGTGAAATAAATCAGACAAAAATTGAGAAACCTAAAGCATAAATAAAGAGCAAAATAAAAGATACTAGAAAATAGATCTTATTCAAAGAGGAAGTCAGTCAAGAGATGGAGGAAGGGGAGGGAAAGGGGATGAGAAAGGAATTTAAGTATGTTATGTAGTATCTCCATACAAGGAGGGCAAACATTGTAACATTATGTGTTGTACCCAATACAAAAAAAAAGTAAGGAGAGCCAACGATTTAGCTCAGTGCCTTGTAAGCACAAGGTCCTGAGTTCGATCCCTGGTACAAAAAAAAAAAA